AGTCCACTTTTAGGGTTAGGGTTAGTGCTAGGGAATCATGGGAATTGTTTTTTTTCTGAGACATTGAGCCTTCTCTGTCAAAGAGCTCTGGTGCCACAATAAAATACAGTTCCCATGATTCCCTAACCCTAACCCTAACCCTTAAAGTGGACTCAATTTGCACTATTTCTGGCAGTCTGCAATAGTGCTAGGGAATCATGGGGATTGTTTTTTTCTGAGACATTGAGCCTTCTCTGTCAAAGAACTCTGGTGCCACAATAAAATACAGTTCCCATGATTCTCTAGCACTAACCCTAACCCTTAAAGTGGACTCAATTTGCACTATTGCTGGTGAAATTCACATAAACCAGTTTGCCAACTTCCCATTGATTTAGTGGGTCTATTGTAATGGGGACCAACAATTGGATTTAGATCATTGACTGTAAGCCTTTTAACTATCATGAGAAACTGGCACAATATTTATCTGTTGGCTGATTAAACTGAAGCTGAACTAAAATCAGTTGCTCTTAAATCAGTAGTTTGAAGCAAATTAGATATAAAACTTTCTATACAGGAGAAAGGCTTTCTGATAGCAACCTTTCATGTTTCTAGTTGAGTGTTTTTATGCCTTTATAATGCCTTTAGTCCACTACTCAACTGTAATGAGCATACAGTAGTTTGCAACCCTGCAGAGATGATATTGGCAAGAAATATTCTTCTGTTTGGTATTACTTTTCTGCCTCACTATTAAAACATCTATGTGTAAATTTTCCAGCGAGGCATCCCTCCAGGACATCTGTTGTCTAACATATTATAGTTGCCCCTCTGTTTTCGTGGACTTCGGATCTGCGTACCTCGCTCATCCACGAGGGACAAACAAAGGGGCATACAATGGGGCACACGCCTGCATGCCCCCACACCTCCATTCAAGCCTATGGGGCTTGAATATCTGCAGGTTTCTGTTTTCGTGGAGGGGTCTGGAACGGATCCCCTGTGAAAACGGAGGGGCAACTGTATTTGGACACATACTCCATAGCTTCTGTGTTTATTGTCCAAAAAGAAGAGATGATGGGATTCAAAACAATCTGGAAGCTCTTTCCCCAAATTTCAAAGGGACAGTGCTGATCACAGATTTTCACTAGTAGCAGAAACACAATATGTATCTTGAAACCCCTTTATGATTTTTTCACATGCTTTTACACTGAAATTAATAAGATCATGATACATCCAACCCAAGGGCCTAAATACCAAAAGGAACCAGATCCTCTGTGATCTGGGAAGTTAAGGCAACTTTAAGGTTCACGTGTGCTTCTCTCCCCCCCAACATAACCAGTCATCATTTATATTTAGGCACAACAACAGGAGTGGGCTTCAATTCTCAACAGAAATCTGGGTTTGTATGCGCAAAATTCTTTTTAAAAATCTAGCACATCCCCCACTCCCACCCCATGAATGGGATGTTAAGTTCAGTATGCCTAAATAGACAGAAAGAGCTAACATTTTCTTTCCTGGATTTACGGTATCTGTCAGCTAATTTGATGTTGCCCCCTTTATTGTTGTTAGGACTGAATTTTAAAAAGTAATTTTCTCTTTCCAATATAACCACTGAGTTATTTTGAACCTCATTAAAAACAATTGTTTTCTTAGCCTCCTTGGTTGAGATATTAGATCAAAGAGATGCAGCTAAAGCAATAGATCAAAAGCCCATGCCAGTGTAAGAAAAATGTGTGAATTGCAATGTCTTTAAAGTGTAATACTGGCTTTGATTGAGGATTTGAAACTATAGTTTTGCCACCATGACTCATGTTGTGGTTTTTTGTTGTGTCAGCATTTCTATTATAGCATGATCATATTTCTATTAATACCGTGAAACAAGTACAGAATTATGTTCCAGGCTTGTTTCAAAAATGTGTTTTTAAGGTGTTGAGGAATTTGTGATATACCTTAATGAGCATCTTTGATTGTGTGATGTATGAATGAACTGCAGTAGCAGCAAATATACTGCGTCAGCATCAGTTTAATGTTTTTATAATTGTTTGTTCTGAATGAGATTGTAATGGATTTCATAAGAATGTAAGCATTTATTACCCTATTCAGGGTGAAGAAGAGATTTCTTTTGCGCATTAATTAAATAAGATAAAAATACTTGAGGGAAGATTTTTTCCAAGGGTATACAATATAATTATGTTGCCGGTTATGCTTAAAAATCAACATAGGCTGTGCCTTTGAAACCTGTCTCTCCTCCCAATCTATTCTAAGTGTTATTCTTCTCAAAGAAGGAAAAAGAAAGCTTTGCCATATCAAATGGAGTACAAATGTATGTGCTTTATTGACTACTTTTACAGACTCTCATACCTTTATTTGTATAGTACAGGGGTCGGCAAGTTCCCCTTACCTGGAGCCGGCCCAGGGATCCCCGGGTCTTCCTTGGGCCGATGGTGGTGGTGGGGAAATGGCGGCGGCAGTGCGTGTGGTGGCGGGGTCGGCGGGGGCCGATCCAAAGGTCTCGGGGGGCCAACCCCGGCCCACAGGCCATAGGTTGCTGAACCCTGGTAGTACATTCCAAATCCTTTGGGAATGGAGAAACACTGTTTGATATAATATCTGCTTCACATCTTAACTGCATGAAGTACCTGTGAACAATTGTTGTTGTTATATGCCTTCAAGTAGTTTCCAACATATAGTGACCCAAAGGCAACCCTATCCCAGGGTTTTCTGAGGCTGAGAATGTGTGACCCAATGGGTTTCCATGCTGAGTGGGGAACTGAACTCTGATCTCCAGAGGCGGAAACCGCTATACCACACTGGCGCTCACTGTGACCAACAGTGTATCTAAAGAAACGCCAAGCTAGTTGCTTTCTGGGGGGTGTAATGGAACTTTTTCCTTCACCCCTTCTATTAAGTAAGAGAGTTTTTCAGCCAGATCAAGAAGCCAAGACCATTTTTGTGCATCTAAAGGAGAATTTTGCCCTAGGACTTTGAATGAAGGGCAAAGGAGCTTCCAGAAAATCCAAACCTCATGCTTGCGGTAGGGTTATCACCTCTTAACTGGCCCCAGGCTTTGCTACTTTTCAAAGCTTGCATGGCAGGGAGAAAGGAACAGATTGGTGTTTTTCTACTCATCCCCCAAGCTGAAGAAAAATACAATATATCAGACTGTCTCTAAGAAAAGTAGCAGGGGCCATCTCAGTAAGACAAAGGCAGCTGAGCTTCTTTCTTCTGCATTGCTGTTTTGTTTTGAAATACTGGATTCTTGGTGATTGACTTAATGAGCAAAGTCTTAAAAATTAAATAAATAGGTGTTGAGTAAAAATTTTCAGACCCTATTTTATTTCCCTAGACTCTGGAAAGACTCAGCCAATTTCACAATTGTCAAGATCTAGCATGAGTGCATCCTCCTGTGCATCTGACAGATGGGCATGCTTTTTGATCAGGATACTAAGCAGGAGTTTATTTTAATTGGTGAATAGATTTTGGTGATTACAGAGAACTTCAGTGAAGGACCAGTAACTGTACCAGCTGCACAGCAGTAAAGATGCAGGTCCATTGTGGGTAGGTGTATTTTTCACTTCCCCCACACAGCTGTCAATGGAATATAGCCCTGTCCTATAGCATCATCTGTTGTTTCCGTTGTGGGCAGAGCTTGCCAATCATCTATACACCACGCTTGGTCCACTTCCTACTGTGTATGTCCTTTTTAGGCATATGCTGTTGAGGTGGATATACAGACGATGTGTCGGTTTCAAACATAAAATAGATATATTTATTTTTGAATGTAACTCTCTCTCTCTCTCTCTCTATCTATATATGAAGTGACAGAAATTTGAAAAATGACAAAACCTGAGGTAAAACACAAAGCTAGGGATGTGCTAGTCTATATTTTCTCCTAAGCCACTGACTGAAAATCAAATCAGAGTTGTGTGGGTTTGCAAAGTTTGCATTTCACTGGTTGACTATAAGCGGGAATAAAAGGGTTTGCTTTGGGATCTATCCCAATAATATTCGGTTTAGTACTCCTGTATAGTCATACTGTCCATCAATGGCACTACCTTTCTGTAGTAGAGGGATTGTTCTGAGGCAAGAGACTATGCTGCTGGTAGCAGTCCAGTGTCAGACAGGCTTTTGCTGAGGAACCAGACTAAATGTGCCAAACAGCTACTGGGCAGCAGCAGTAGCGGAGGGTGACACTGGTGGAGAATCTCTCAGAGACAACAACAGTGGCACCATAGCTAACATGTATGCCACTGTGCAGCATAGTAAACCTCCTTTTGAAGATCTTTCAACATAAACGCTATGGTGAGACAACCCAAAATGAAACAAGATAATGTGAGAAGATGAGACTTACAGGTTGGATGGCTATCTATGGGGGTAGAGCAGAAGAGACAACCCAAAATGAAACAAGATAATGGCAGAAGATGAGTCTCACAGCTTGGATGGCTGTCTGTGGGGGTAGAGCAGAAGAGAACTGTGAGTAGTGCTGTGGCTAATGACACAACTGGGCTCAAGCCAAAAGGATCTTCACATGTTGACATGCTCAAAGGCGAAACAAAAGTCCGAAGCTTCACAACACACATTATAAGAACATGGAGTATGAGAGCTATGAATCAGGGAAAGCTAAACATAGTATATCATTGAATACTAAAGTTAGGATTGTCCATCCCATTGTATTTCCCATTTCTGTGTATGATTGTGAAAGCTGGACAGTGAAGAAAGCTAATAGGAAAAAAATCAATTAATTTGAAATGTGCTGATAAAGAAGAATGGATACCATGGACTGCTAAAAAGATAAATAAATGGGTCCTAGAACAAATTAAGTTTGCATTCTCCCTAGAAGTCAAGATGACTAAACTGAGACTTGTACTTTGGACATATAATGAGAAGATGTTGTTGTGTGCCTTCAAGTTGTTTCAAAGTCTGGTAACCCTAAGGTGACCCTATCAAGAAGTTTTTTTTTTCCTAAGATTGCCATCCATTGAGGCTGAGAGATTGTGACTTGCTCAAGGTCACCCAGTGGGTTTCTGTGGCTGAGCAAGGAGTTGAACTCTGGCTCCGAGAGTCATAGTCCAGTGCTCAAACCACTACACCACTCAGGCTCTTATGAGAAGACATAACTCACTAGAAAACACAATAATGCTTGGTAAGGTAGAAGGCACTAGGAAAAGAGGAAGACTGTGTTCCAGATGGATAGATTCAGTCAAGGAAGCCATGGCCCTGAATTTGCAAGACCTGAGCAGGGTGGTTGATAAAGTGAGTTGGAGGTCTCATTCATGGGGTCTCCATGAGTCAAAGTTGACAGGACAACATTTAACAACTACAAAAAGTAGCCAAACTGGTGAGTGTGTGTTCAGCAGCTACATGGATGTGCTGAGATTCAGCCACTGGGTGAACCTGCTTGATGTCACTGAGTATTTATGAATACAGGTTGAGTCTCCCTTATCCAAAATGTTTGCGGCCACAGGTGTTTTGGACTTTGGAGTTTTTTGGAATTTGGAATGCTTGCATGTACTTAATGAGATACCTTGTAGATGTAATACAGGTTTAAACATAACATTCATTTATATTTTGTAGACATCTTGCACACATAACCTGAAGGTAATTTTATACATAATATTTTTAATAATTTTGAGCAAGGAACAAAGTTGTATACATTGAGTCATCAGAAAGCAAAGATATCTCTCTCTAATCCTCCTGCATAGACAATTTTGGATTTTGAAATATTTTAGATTTCAGAATTCTAGGTAAGGGGAACTCAACCTGTATTCTGTCAGAAGATGGAAAGGAGTCCACTGAGGGGAGAACTGTGTTTGTTTCCAATATGAATACACTTCACAGAAGTACTTTCAACATTTTGATGAAGTGAATTTGATAGACTGGTTTGGAGAGGGGCAAGGGCTGAGTTTAGAATTAAATAAATCCATTAATAAATGTATGTGAAATTTTAAAAATGAAAATCTGTACAAACTAAATTAAAGGAGTTTTGTCATAATGTCACAGAGGATGTAAGATAGCACTTTTTGGATTTTTTGGATTTTTTTTACTTGGAATTAAAGGCATTGAACTCAAGACTGCCAAGGTATAAGGTCAGTACAGTTGTTCATGACCTTTCCTACACCTTCAATGGGACACTGAACAGATATGAGGGGTGGAAGGCACAGCAAGGTAATTTTATATTAGTGTTGTTTTATAGTAGCAGTTCAGCAGGCATAAAAGGTCCAGCTATGATTCCTCAGGAGGTCTCAGATTTTAGCTGATAGCAGCCAGTCTTCTTGTACTGCAAAAATAGATATAGCCAAAGCATAAAATAGGTAATAAAAATGAAATGTGGCAAATTCATTCTTTAGAGCATGAGCTTTTGTTAAGTTAGTAAAACAGTAAAGGGTTACTGAAGGTAAGAGTGGGGAAGTTGATGGACTAGAAATCAAGTTGACCCACCCCCATTCCATTAAGTAATATATTTTAAAAATGCTTACTGATAATATATTCGCTTTTCACATGGTGGCTCCAAGTGTTCTCCTAAGGGACTTACTAAGGCCATGCTTTCACACATTTTCCAGCATCAAACATTCACTCACTGGGTGTTTCATTCAATTATTGTTTCACAGTACTGTAGCCATTATTATATATCTTCAAGTTGTTTTTGACTTACGGTGACCATAAGGCAAACCTATTACAGGGTTTTCTTGCTAAGATTTGTTCAGAGGGGGTTTGCCTTTGCCTTCCTCTGAGGTGAGAGACTGTAACTTGACCAAGGTCACCCAGTGATTTTCCATGGCCAAGTGGGGGTTTGAACTCTGGTCTCCAGAGTCATAATTCACTGCTCAAACTGCTACACTATGCTGGTGCACTATGCACCTTCAAGTCGTCTGTTCATTTTTGGTGACCCCATTAATTCATAGAGTTTTCTTTGGCAAGGAATACTCAGAGGTGTTTTTGCCAGTTCCTTTCTCTGAAATGGCTCCACTGTAGCTTTTTATTATTGTTTTAAAATGTGTTTACTCAAATAACGAATTAATATATACCTATCATTTACCATGTTAGGGCACCTCCAGGAGATACGAATTTCCTGAAAAGCAAACACTTCCACAGAAAAAGCTCTAAGTTCCCTGTACATTATAA